CAACCAAAACAAATCAAATTACTGGTTGCATATGAAATGTGGAACAATCTCTTCAACCGACAACTGACAGAATGTTACAGTTGACATGGAAACACTTGGAAAACAGTTACTACATAGTGTTCAGTTCATTGACTTTGTGAGTGCAGGTATGGAGAGACACGAATGCATTATGTGCAAGATTCATGATTCACGTTAATACCAATAGACCTAGACCGAAGAACTTTCCAGTGACACACCCTCATCGATTCTACGAAAAGTGGATAATGGACAATGAATTTGGTATAGTAACCTGGGAAAGTGTAAAAGTCAATGTGGACAAATGTTACTGAATGGATGAGTGTAGATAGAAAATGAACAGAGTAATTTTGATAATTTAAATCACAAACTGATGTTAGTTGCATCAGCATTGATAACGTGGAAGGAGTGGACGGTCGTCTCGTCCTAGTATGGGACTCGTCAGAGATGCACATCCACCACTCCGCACCCGGGAGTCGAAACCATGACCTTCTGTCTCAGCGACGTAATTTCGACGAATTTTCTTGTAGCTTGCAGCTTTGCATTATATTCTGAGATCTATTTGTATTGATTAAATAATTCACCGTTCGGCTTATCATTTGATGAAGAGCAGGATCATTTATTTAACGTATAAGAAAATTTGGAATTTTCTGGTTTGTGTTTTCTACTTTACGGATTGAAAATATTCGTTCATGACTGGATTTTAAAAACAACTTTAATGTGAAGTGATTGAGTAAACTTATCATTTACTTTGGATATTATGTTAACTTTGATGAGATTATTCCTGATCATATCGTCAGGCGGACACAGGAAGCCCTGTTGGACATTGATTCATGTACAGTGAGAACTGATATTCGTTTACGTGCCACTCTGTTGTTCTCTCTATTTCACCAGGTGGATTTTATAACCTGGATATGAAGTGTGATAGACATGTGCAGATTATGAGGAATGGAGGTTAAGAGGAATGTTTTGGTCATAAAAGTTTAAACAGTCAGTGAGTTAATGAACTTGAAGTGATTGAGGAAGTCGAATCATGTGTTATTAATCTGCAGTCATTAACTAACTTCAAAGCCTAATGAGGAATCAATCAGCATTCCATTATAAAAGGTGCTATGGTCAAATAATGTTTTAAGGATGGCTCGTTGGCAAACTCAAGGAAGCTTCAAGAAACCCAGAAAGAGGCGAAGACATTCCATCTAACCACCGCTAGAGTAACATTCTAAAATGTCGACGTGTAGCTTTCCTATTGAATGAATAAGAAGGATCCCCTATGTGCCTATTGGCTGTCCGAAATGATGATTTACTTTTAGTCAAAAACTATAGATACATGAGATTCTTGTACTATATTTGACACTGTTTTGGGAATAACGTTCTTACTTACTAGTCTTCTGTCTTCTCTCTTGCGACGTTGCGGGTTCTATCTTTAAAGTAGTCTAGTAGTACGCGGCATAACAAGAATCTAGGCTCTAGATATAACAAAGGCACTAGCATATGTGTCTTGGGACATTTAGATTAATTGGATGAAGTTTTCGGGACGACATCAATAGGAGGTTGACGAATAACTCCAGTTGAAACGTCGGGGAATCGATCACAAACATGAACTATTTACTTCATTATTCTTCAGTTATTCTCATTTTTCATGTGTTGTTTTCTCCTGTGACTGAAAATTGAACTTCTTTATTATTGAAGGAGCTTCTATGTTTATATTATTTATTTGATCGTCTGATATGAATTCCTGATATTCAATAACAAGCTCAATTTGAAATGTTAATCATAAACTATTGTTTGAACTTAAAATATCCTTTTATGTGTAGATTCTTATTCAACAATCAAAAACATCATTAAAACTGTTCACTTAATTATAAAATCAAAAGTTCAAGCAAACTACCTAACGCCCAAGAATATTTAGTTTTCAAGTTACTTACTATCAAGTGTATGATGATGACTTTTGAAGTTTTACGAAACAACTTACTTACTTACTTACTTACGCCTGTTAACCCCAATGGAGCATAGGCCACCGACCAGTATTCTCCAACCCACTCTGTCCTGAGCCTTCCTTTCTAGTTCTATCCAACTTCTGTTCATTCTTCTCATGTCTATCTCCATTTCTCGGAGTAATGTGTTCTTTGGTTTTCCTCTTTTTATGAAACAAAGAAGATGAAAATTTAGATGATACACGATGAATTACCATGATATTGATGATATATGTCCTTTCTCTTGTTTTACACTTTTAAAAAGTTTAACTGAATTATATATTGTGAAAATGTATTCTCTTAGTATGGATAAAATTAAATAAAATAAAATAAATTCTTTATCATATAAGCAATGAGATGATTATGTAATAAGTAATCCTGTTAAACAATGATTGTATAAAATTTGCATAAATTAATATTCAATTATTTTAAAACCAAACTATACCAGTATAATGGTGAATTTCAACAACTAACATGTAAAAATGATTTCTGACTAAAAAAAAATAATAACAATAATAATATAACAGATAGACTAAATGGATACGAATAATACCAAAACAAATCGTCTGGTTAACAGTTCTGAGGAGAATAGTTTGAGTTTGATAATGAATTCGATCCCAAAAAAATAACATCAGCTGAGAAAGCATCAAAAACAAGGAAACACTAAATAATGTTACAGTCATAGAATTAGACTGTCTAGTACAGTGGAGTCATAATCTATTTAGTGATTGAACTCAAACCTTTTATAATTTATAGTGAATGGATAGTATTTTTACTAATGATTCGGAATTCAGTGGTTCATATTTATAATAACAATATTGATTACAATATCTCATAAATTGACTGGTGTTAGAAATTTAGATGAGTGCCCTTACTATGAATCTTCAGTTTGGTCATGGGTGCACACTATTAGATAATCTCATTCTGTGACTCAACAACTGTCCATTGACTTAATTTTCAGTGGTTGCTGACATCTGTCGGTCAGTGATATAAAATTTATCTTTGAGATAAACATTGTGAGTATTTAACTAACACTGAATAAATTTCAAACATTCATCATGATATCAGTTGTCAAATTCTAAGAAAACACTATACTAACAATAGTTTCAGTTCAGACTTTGCATAAAAACGTTTGAAAGATGACTAAATTCATTTCTCATAAAAGTCATCTAACTTATAAGTCAATAATCGTGTCTTTTGTTAAAAGTTGAAATTAAATACACTTTTCTACCTTAAATGTATACAGTCGTTTCCCCCTAAAACATTGATGTATTTAGTTATTTACATAACGTTTATATATACTAATTAAATTGAGTAAATTTAATAGAAAATTTGATCAATAATATATGTTAATTCCATTTCAGTGTTTTTAATCAGCTGTAAGCACTTTGAGGTTTTCAGAAATAATGCAATCGGAAAGAAAGGTTTGACAAACTTGATTTTATGAAGTCGAGATGCGATTTTGAATTATGACTGAAAATTCAAAAGAATGAGGTACGATACCGACACCATCCGAAAAAGGCTTCACTGTAGCACTCTGAGATAGTAGGGACCAACTTGCTAGTTAAATAGGTGGTTGACGAAAACCGAACTAATTGATCACTCTGCTGTAAACCGGATTAACCAGGCTCCATTCTCGGTACTCTCTAAAAGTCCTTCAGATTGCTCAATGTGTATGCCTATGTATATAAATTGCATGAGTCTCCATCTGTGTAGTTTATGTATGTAGGTAGAGCACTTAAAACATTCTGTAGTTTGAATAAACAAAGAAAATAATTTACTTTGAAAGGGTTTGAGATTTCTCGTTAACTATATGCTCGACTAGATTTCGATCAGTCTCAGTGGCCATATGTGAATTCCGTGTAGGTTACGTCGACGCTTATATTTTGTCACAAGTTTGATAGAAAAGAAGGACTGATTCAGGTAGTTGAATCGAAGACGAGCACTTCATTTCAGAAGTGAGTGGATCAGAGGTATAGCCATCTGAGAAATGTCGGATTCGGTGAGAAGAGAGTTCTAGATCCCACTACTAGCCACAATCCATCTATCTTACCAAAGTAAAATATATCCAGAATAGTGTGTATTAACCTGTTGTTGATATGCCAGATTGAAGTTTTGCTGTCGTTTGTTGGTATGTGGGTGTCCATAGAGTCAGTTTTCTTTAATTCACAATGATAAGGTCCAAAATATTTTCAGACTACTCAGTTACAAAAGACAGATAGTTTTTAGTACATCAGCATTGTGACTATTAGTGGAATGTTGGGAGTGTGTTCAGTCCTATTTAGGAATCGTCTAGTGGATCCACCCACAACATTGAGATAAGCACTCATGATGTACATGTGACAAAAGAGACCCATCTCCCCTGAATATCGACGACAGGACAACACGAAAGCTTGAATTCAAGTCCACTCGCATTGAACAAGTTGAAAGATATAGGGACTCTGTCGTTCACTGGATACAGCATTGGTATTTGTTGCAACAATCACTTGATCCGAGTTCTACTGTTAACATCGAAAGTGAGATACGGGTATATCCATGTGATGATGTCCTAATGAGACAGAATGTGTATTCTGGACGATACCGCTGATTACAATCCAAATATCAAGAAAATGCCATCATCTTACTAATCTTCTGAAATGTACGTATACCCAAACTGTTATCAATTTACTAAATTAAGCGTGCTTCATCTTTGTTGTTACGATCGTGATAACTGCGAATTATTTATATCAATCAATAATTGAACTTTTAACACTGAAATCATGTGATGAACAGATACGATGTACATAAAATATTTTATGCATAAATATGAACTTATATATTTTGAAGCATTATCCAAGGAAAACTAACGGTGGTTAACTATGATTATTTATTTGTGGAAATACTAGAAACTGGAAAGAATTGATAATATGTCGAAAATTCAGGAAAGACGATCTCATCAATTGTGGTAACTACAGGGGAATCACTCTTCTCCCAATACCAGGAAAAGTCTTCAACCGAGTATTGTTAAACAGGATGAAGGATTCCGTAGATGCCCAACTTCGAGATCAACAAGCTGGATTTCGTAAGGATAGATCGTGCACAGATCAAATCGCAACTCTGCGGATCATTGTGGAACAATCAATCGAATGGAACTCATCACTCTACATCAACTTCATCGACTACGAGAAGGCATTTGATAGCGTGGACAGGACGACACTATGGAAGCTTCTTCGACACTACGGCGTGCCTGAGAAGACAGTCAATATCTCACGGAATTCCTATGCTGGATTAAACTGCGAAATAGTTCATGGAGGACAACTCACTGACTCGGTTGAGGTAAAGACCGGTGTCAAGCAAGGTTGCTTACTCTCACCCTTTCTCTTTCTCTTGGTGATCGACTGGGTCATGAAGACGTCAAAATCTGGGGGGAAGCACGGGATACAGTGGACAGCTAGGATGCAGCTGGATGATCTAGACTTCGCAGATGATCTGACTCTTCTGTCTCACACACAAAAACAAATTCAGGAGAAGATGACCAGTGTAGCAGTAGCCTCAACAGCGGTAGGTTTCAATATACACAAAGGGAAAAACATGATTTTCCGATGAAACACAACATGCACCAATCGAATCACTCTTGACGGAGAAGATTTGGAGGATGTGAAAACCTTTACATATCTGGGCAGCATCATTGATGAACACGGTGGATCTGATGCAGATGTGAAGACGCGAATCGGCAAAGCAAGAGAAGCATATTTACAACTGAAGAACATCTGGAACTCAAAACAATTGTCAACCAACACCAAGATCAGAATTTTCAATACAAATGTTAAGACATTTCTACTGTATGGGGCGGAGACGTGGAGAACTACGAAAGCCATCATCCAGAAGACACAGGTTTTTATTAACAGTTGTCTACGCAAGATACTTCGGATCCGTTGGCCAGACACTATCAGAACTAGAAAGGGAGGCTGAGGACAGAGTGGGTTGGAGGATGCTGGTCGGCGGCCTATGCTCCATTGGGGGTAGCAGGCGTAAATAATTAAGTATGTAATATTTCATACATTCATTTGTTTGAACAGACAATGAGAGGGACTAAGAGAATAGAAGACAATGAAGCGAAATAACGTTCAGTGGAGAAGGCATGTGAGCCAACTCATTTTGGCTTAAATCGATATTTATAGTCACACAAAAATAAGCTACAAACTTCTGATGAGCAAGATAAGAAATGCACACATATACACCTATATGAAAACAGTTAAGGCTGACAAGCGAGTAATTAACAGGGTCAAAATCTAGCTTGAGGAGATTGGTTCGTCCAGAAGCTAGAATGAGTTATGAGGGCTCGACATAGTGCCAGGCACCACAATCTTACTTCCACACCGTTTCCCATAATGTTCGCACTGATGATTGGCGTGTTCGAGGACGAGTCACCTGTTCATGTTGAAGGTAGTATAGGAATGAGAGAGTAGAACGGACACGAACTGTTAGAGTGAATCATCTACGCTCCGTATATGAATTTGTGAGGATGTTCACGTGTGCATCAGTGAGTGATTTTTTCATATCCATTTTATGTTTTACCTTTCGTATCTTTATTGGTCTTTGTTTTCCTAATGATATGTATTCTGGCAGTTTTCTCTCATTTTGTTATCGTTTCTTGGCAATTTATGGTTGCTGTATTCTGCGGTTTAGCCTCACAGTTTCGTCGGTTTTTATGATGTGATATGTCGTCTTATATTTCTGATTTAATAGATATAAATCTCTCAAACCTTTATTCGGTGATGCTTGATTTTCGTCTCTGAATATCTGATTAATTTGAAGAAATGACAATTCTACACTTCCTGATGTCGTTTTAGCTTTTCTCTTTTTCACTTATTATCATGCTACCTCAATCAATCGTCATTAACTCCTCATTGTAATCTACATGCCGACTGTTAGGTTTTAATTCACGTCTTCTGCATGACTCCGATATTAAGTTTTGTTATCAGGTTGTCTCATTACTTATCAAACTGTCAACCTTACTACACTCATTTTCTAAAGTCTACCTTTTCCGTAATCAGTTTGTAAATTTTTTCAATGGAATACTTAATTTGATTGAGTTAATATATTTCTGTCCGACTCAACATGCTAACACTTTTTATTTCATCATGCATTCTATGAACCTGTTGTATCCGAAGAAGACTAAATTGTAAATAAGTGCTGGGAACTGTTAAGTAACTAGAATAAACATATTTATATTTCTTTTACCATAAGCTCTAAATTGATGTATCGGTTATCATTATATGATTTTATATTCTTAACGTATTCCAACTCATTTAGTTACAGTCTCTCACACAGTCACTCTTGGCCATTTATAATGGTAATTATTATTTTACGGAGTGATACGGTCTGGTTAGCTTGTATATACTACGCATGTCTGAAATATATTATTTATACAGTGGAGGCTGAGACTGCGTTCTGGATTCAATGGACAGGACAAGACGAGAAGGACCAATAAGGATTCAGTGTTGACACAAGTCTACTAGTGCTGTTCGACGTGTCACTGATCTAGCACAAGAACAAGGTCATATAAGTCGGTATTCTGATTGGTGATTTTGTCACGTGATAATTGACGGTGGCAAAAATCATAACAAAATAAACGAATCTTCAGAAATCAATCAGTTAAAATTTGTAGCATAAATCAGTTTGATTATTTACTTTCCAATACTTTTGATGTTCATGCATACATTTAATTATATTCAGTATTCTGAAGTATCAATAGACATTGTTGTTATGATCATATTTGGAATTGAAATATTCAAGTTTCCATTTACTGGTAAATCACGTGCAAATTTGTCTCAATGACCAATCAGACATACGTCTTACTAACCCATTTTATTTTGAACTTAATCTGAACTAATCGCGTTAATGAATGTAAGAGAAATATCATTAGCCAATCATATCAATGTTTTAAGGTCATGGTCAGAATGAAATTTTTCAATGTCATTTTACATCCGAATTATGTATGCATAATCATTGTGACGTGAGACATTTGTGGGTGATTTCAATGACTACAAAATAAGTATAGAGGCTTCTGTTCATATTCTTAATTGGTGTTCATTAAACTTTATTAATGGAAAATGCCTACATGTGTACCGCTTACAAACAGTTCACAAGAATTTGAATTGAGCACATCAAAAGCACCAACTCAACAATCCATCACCATCAAACTTAGCGTAGATGAAATACTGAATAAGTATGTTGGGGAATATGGAGTTTGGCAATGGAGTATTGTGCTGCTAATAGTTTTAAGTTCCCCTCTAATGGTGACGTTACCTGTATTTGTTAATGCAGTACCTGACCACCGTTGTCGGATGGAAGATCCTATGGAAGAAATATTCAAAGACTACAATTTAAGTTTTGAAGAAGCGGCTGCGTTTGTGGGTCCATGGGAAGGTGAAGTTCCTGTATCAATGATGGGTTGTAGAAGATTTGCATTGGACTGGAGCAATTCAACCCTCATCGAAAATCTATTTTTGAATAAGTCGGTAGCTTCATCTATCGATCGCAAATCACTGAAAACCGAAGAGTGTGCCAATGGTTACATATATAGAAGTAGAGAGTTCCAATATCCCAGTACTGTGGTAGCAGAGTTTAACTTGGTTTGTGGTAATATTATGCTTTCGCTTCTTGGAACATCTCTTTTCATAGTTGGAATGTCGTTTGGATTTATTTTCGGTGGTTATTTTGGTGACAAATTCGGTAGACGAAATGGTGCAATTGTATTCTCCTTCATTGAATTATTAGCAGGGGTTGGTGTTTCATTAGCCCCTAATCATCATATCTATCACCTGATGAGAACAATTGTTGGGTTTTCTAGTACAGGAAAAGCCGTCGTCCTACGACTGCTACCAATTGAGCTAACTAATGCCAAATATCGATCTTATTTTACGTCGTTCATTGTTTTGGGAGTTATATTTGGACATCGTGTTACAATGACTGGAATAGCTTATTTGGTACAAGATTGGCGTTTTCTCAATGCCCTGTCAATGCTACCATGTCTCACATGTTTCATGTACTTTTGTCTTTTACCTGAATCACCACGATGGCTATTATCTCAGTATCGTGTTGAAGAAGCCATCAAAATATTGAGAAGAGGGTGTCGTATTAATCATATTTTGAAGAAAGATAAATCAAAATTATCACAATTCGACAATTTCTTGAAAAATTTAAATAAGAAAGAATCTCATATTGGAAAATCATATGTCCATCGTGAACCTATAAGTATTTCTGAACGATTTATTAATTTACTTAAATCAACCAAGAAAAGTATTTGTTGTGGACAAATGAATAAAACACTCATAATATGTGTTCTAATATTTATGCTGCATTCACTTGCCTTTCTGGGTATCACATTATTTAGTAAGTACATTAATTATAATATTTATATAGTAACTCTTATCAATGCATTAACTGGTATTCCAGGACCAATTACTGCAAGTGTGGTTTATAGATGTTATAAGTATAGACGATTTCCATTAATGTGCACGTATATAATTTCTGCTATATTATTATGTATTGGTGGTGTTTATACATTATTATGGAAACCACTGACTGATAATGTATTGAATATATGCTGTAATGGTGCTCTTATTACGTATTCTGCTTCAACGATTATGTTATCGATTTATAGTGCTGAATTATTCCCATCATATATGCGTTCAAGTGCTGTAGGTATATCAAATGGTTTAGGTAGAATTGGTGGGATCATTTCAACATTTGTAAATCATACAGATTTTACTTTTGAACATGGTACGCCTGTATTGATTTATTCCGGTTCAGCAATATTTCAAGTTTTCTTATTATACTTTTTACCTGATACAAGTGGCGAAGATCTTGATGTCGACAAAGGCTTAGAATCTACAACTGATAATCATGTTCATCAAAATGAATCTAATACAAGTATTGATGCAGCAAGAGAAGAGTGTGTAAACAATTTGAATACATTAGAAGACCGAATAAAATCGTCACCAACAACTGTAACTCATCTCTAGTGCTTTCACATTTTTAAATGATACATTTTTGATATAAGCTAACTGATGCAAATAAAGTTTCTTTACTTTATGTTGTCGTTACATTTCATTATCTTTTATTCAATTCGTTTGTAAAAAATGATTTGACTTTCATTTATCAATATGAATGTATTACTGAACAAATTAACTGCAACAAATATTTATCCGTTAAATCAATCCATCTATCTGTTTATCCAAGTTATTACAGTTTTACGAAATAATACTATAGATCAGAAGGGGTTTTGAGGAGAATTTAGTATTTTCATAGTTGAAATCATGAGTCAATTGAAGCTAGACCATCATGGAAATCCTGGAAGCACTCATGGTTTCAACTATGAAAATACTAAATTCTCCACAAAACCCCTTCTGATCTATAACCGTATGCTCACTAGTGACTGACTTCAAGAGATATTTCCTTGATTTCTAGTGGGAAGCAGTGACCAGTGGAGTTCTACCAAGTCTGTTGTAGAGATATCAACTCACTGAAGACAATTGGTGAACGGTTGCTCAATTTCGTGGATCAGTTGAAGTTAGACATTAACACCGTTGGATGCCGGCCGGCTCACTGGGCTATCGATTAAGTGCTCTGGCGCGAGACCGGTAGATCCTGGGTTCGAATCTCGCGAGGCGGGATCGTGGGTGCGCACTGATGAGGAGTCCCACAGTAGGACGAAACGGCCGTCCAGTGCCTCTGGGTTTTCCATGGTGATCTAGCTTCAATTGACTCATGATTTCAACTATTAAATAATACTAGTTAAATGAATTAAGAAAATGAATACAAGTAAATGAATAAGCTCCTTTATTTATAGAGCAAGAAACCAATTGATTGTATCCATATCATTGTCAATGGTACCAAGCTATCTGATTAATAATCACAAGCACTGTACACTCAAACTATAAGATGTGTGATCTGGACACTTGAATTCAATGTTCATTGGTTGTTTGTTTAGTTAGAAGAAACTGATAATTTTATAAATTGATCCTGGATTTTAATTACTGATGTTTTTGCTCACTTTAATTTTGTAACTAACATTATAACTTTGGTTAAGTGGTTGTTATGTATGATAAACACATATCCTATTTAATTCGGCTTACTAATCATATCAAATTGTTGATAATATATGGTCGTTATAAGCATTATAATGTCTATAATATTGAAACCTAACAAGAAGACAGTTTTAGAAGTTTTGCATTACTCATGATCTTCTTTTCTAGACAACGCTATTAGTATTGCTACATGACTTGAAATAGATACACACATCATCGACATTTATTATTAACCACATTTATTTGTGCCAACTAATCAACAATTTACGATTTACTTACATGTACTGACTAGCAGTGACTGAATTACTGATTTTTAAATATTTATTGTACAAATTGAGAAATGCACTTATCCCTAAGTGAACGAATCAATCCGACGAGCATTTCTTAACAAAAATTCATATCTGGTAAGATCCAACCATGTATGATTTCAATATCTTAAATGCAAAGAACTTTTCATATCACTTTAAAGCATTTCAAAACAATCAGAATCACTTTGATTTCATTGAATTTACATGTTGATCAATAAGTAAACCATGTTCCATTCCAGGTAAATTAAGTTACTTTCACCAGTCTCAGATTATTCAATTATGGAATTAATATAAACAACTTACTTACTTACGCCTGTTACTCTCAATGGAGCGTAGGCCGCTGATCAGCATTCTCCAACCCTTTATATCCTGGGCCTTCTTTTCTAACTCCGCCTGTAGCTCCTCCGGGAGCTACTGCCTGTCCCAAGCCCGGGCAAAGGAGGAGGGTTGGGCATGGGGTTAGCGACCCTATCCCGTAGAAAACCAACTCGCTAAAAAAACGCTAACCAGAGAAACGCTAATTTAAACAAAGTCTCCCGATAATAAGCATTAGGAAAATCACAAATGCTTTGTTGAAAGTGTTAGTATTTATGTTTTTAAATAAAACTAACTTCTTATTGTTTACAGATCTTCTTCTCTTTATAACACTGGTTAAAGTAATTTAAATGGACCCTACAACAATTGTCCAAATTAGTTTTCAAAGACTGATTATTAACAACCGAAGAGCTTTGAAATATAATACCATTAAAATATGGAGCTCTTCAAAATCACGACTTTTAAAACTTTAGCCTTTAATCAGTGATAACATTCTGGCTAAAACTAACTGTATGTAACATTTTTATTACTCTTATGGAGGAAATGATCACACACATGTAAAATAAAATAAACATAAATAAAAATGGAGCATCTATAACGTTACATATCAAACAAGTAACGATCATAACTACTAATTTGTAAACCAAAATGTTGACTTCTTTTACTATGAACGGAACACTAAATTAAACAGAAATTATTACAGATGAAAATGAATGGATACATGCTACACATACTGTATGTTTGGATTCAGATTTTGTTTAGTGAAATATGACATGATTTATATACTACACGTGATCTGTCGATTTTGAAGTGTGACATGAATACAAACTTTTAAAAGAGATGAATGTACTGTACACATATTGATGATAGGAGTTTAGGGAAATGTTTGAAGTGAAGAGTGAGGAACAAATGAATCAGATTATTTGGTGAGTAATGCACAAATCACACATTTATATTATGGTAAAGTTTTCAGTTAGTTAAATCAAGTGATTAAACATACTGTTACCACAAGACTCTAATTGTCAACATGATAGAGATATCATTTAACACTTCCTTGACAGACGTGGATCCATGTGACGTTCTCTCATGAACCTGGCTACAGTCAAGTAATTAATCCTATAAACATTAAATAAGAAACAATCAGTAGCTCAATATACAGGAGCACCTCATCAACTCTTGTCAAGTTGTGACAGTGAAATTGTCTTCCAAAATAATTTATACACTAAGAAGAATGGGACCGAATGGAGGTGGAATGCAAGAAGTTATATATTACTGAGGTGTTAACAATTCACCAATTTAAGTCTGAACTTTGAGTGAGGAAATATTTAGTAAATGAATACTCTGAATTATCTGGTGTTAGCTAGATAGGCCTGATCAACAGAATGTCCTGGAAATGTCTTAACTACAAATAAAGTTTCATATCATCTACTTTTTCTGTTAAATAATAAATTTATTAAGATAATTTTCCTTTTAACTATCCATGTCATGTATATGACAAATAAGAGAAAGCGAACTAAAATTTTTACCGAGATTAATTTCGCTTTTAATCTTTCATTTTCATAGTTATGTAATCTTATTACGATGAGTTAGTTAACGTGATGAAAAAAAAATTTATCAGTCAGTTTCTTTGTGTGTTTAATCAAAGAAAAAAAAAGTAATACGTGGAATTTATAAAGTTTATTTGATTCCAGTAAATAAATTAAATCAATAAATCATCGGATCATTCCAAAAGAACAAGCCGTACCAAATGGTGAATGATTAAGTTAATTATATTTTTGTAATGTATATTAATGACGATCATTGTGAATGAGAAAATGTCTAAATTAGATGGAAGTAAAGAATAAATGAAAGCTATAAATAGTTATATTTTGGATGAAAATGTTATCCAACAAAGATTTAACCAAGAATATAAGAATTTATGAAGTTTTATGATTAAAAAAAATTTTAAATATGTATAGAAAGAGTAGCAGTCAAGAAATGACGTAAATAGGAGTACGGTACAAATTGAATTTTATGTTATAAATCTAGTATTACTTTATGTATAGCTAGTGAGGCTTCTTGTTCTAACTACTCCAGATAAACGAAATAGGTTGAAGGCAAAAAAGATTCATTCTAATCAGTAATTTCTTGGTTCTTAAATAAAACACGAATATTCTGATATTTAAACATTTCAAGGCTTTAAAAAGTTTCCAGAGTAGATCACATATTGTGTTTCTCAAACCTGATAAAGATTCTGGTATAGCTGTTATGAATAAATATGACTATAAAAAAGGAGCGTTATGCATTCTTTGTGTTGAGGGCAAGTTTTTGGTGGGCTTCCCGTCAAATGATGTTAGAAACCAGAGAAAGCTGAAATCTGATGAAACACCTTAACATAAATGTCATAAACAAGCTAAATTCAATATATTAAAGCATATTGACTCTGAACTCCTGAATTTATATGGATTATCGAAATTCCATGAACCTAATAACCGAATACGACCAACGGTATCTATGTTGGGCTTACCTACACATGATTGAGCAGGTGGTTAGCTAAATTGCTAAACTCAATACGCAGCAAATTATGTAATTTTTTCCTTAAAAGTTACATTTGAACTAACTGGTTTTCTCCATGACATTAATATTAAGGAAGGGACAATGTGTTCTTTGATGCAAGCTCTCTATTTACTAACGCACTTTTAATCAGGATTTGGCATTCGACTAATTTCCATCTTTTTCCTATTAGACCAATATAGTCGAAAGAACTACTTTTATTTTGTACCAAAAAAGTTCATTTCACTTTTGAAAGTAAACATTTTCGACAAATTGATGGTGTTGTTATGGATTATCTTTTGTGACCCCTCTCAGCTGATTGGTATATCTCATATATTGAAAACATGATGGGTGAGCTTATTATTGAGGTAACTCTGTATAGTAGATACACGGATGATATACTAGTATTGTGCGATAAAAGTCCGCTGCCGCTCAGTTATTAGATAGAGTCACTGGCACACGGAATGATATCGTACTTATTTATAACAATGAGAATAATAACTCATTACCCATTCGAGACACTTTTGAGCTGAGAGGACGATAGAACTATAAAGCTGTCAATTTATAGAAAGCCAGCCTAAACTGTGAATTATCTAAACCTCCACAGCTTCTGTCCACTTTAGAACAAGTTAGTCATGATAAAGCGTGTCTTCAACAGAACTAAAGGAATATGCCCTGCAGATGCATTTGGAACACTGATATAAAACGACTGCCCGTTAAAGTTTGAAAATCAATGTAAACGTCAATTAATATCAAAACCCCTTTTTAATTTTTTTGCGA